CCAAGGATACCAGGATAATTGATCCTGGTAAACACTGCAGTTGTACCAATTGCTGTCTGAGGGCATATGTCGTCCGAGACCACGGCAGTCCCTGTCAAGGGCATCTCCAAAAGACAGCAACCATGGTGCTGGAAAACTGGAAATCCACATGCAACAAAATGAAATGAACCCCCTACCTCACCCTGACAAAACCAACTCAAAGTGAATCAAAGACTCAGGCCCTAGACCAGAGGCCCTGCACCTAGTAGAAGAAAGAACAGGCCCAGATCTTCACCAAGTCAGCCCAGGACCTGGCTTCCTGAACAAGACTCCCAAAGCACAAGAAGTGAAATCAAGAATAAATAAATAAGATGGATTCAAACTAAAAAGCTTCTTCTCAGCAAAGGAACAATCAATAATGAGAGGAGAGAGATTACAGAATGGGAGAAAAATCTTTATCACACACACCACAGAAGAGCACTAATCTCCAGGATATATAAAGAACTCAAAAAAAAAAAACAACTTAATGCCAATAAATAAATAAAATCCAATCAATAAATGGGCTAAGAAACTGAACAGACACTTCACAGAAGAAGAAATACAATCAACAAATATATGAAAAAATGTTCAGCATCTCTAGCAATTAGAGAAATGTAAATCAAAACTACTCTATGTCAGAATGGCGATTATCAAAAATATAAGCAACAATAAATGTTGGTGAGGATGTGGAAAAAAATCATACATTGTTGGTGGAACTGCAATTGGTGCAACCACTCTGGAAAGCAGTGTGAAGATTCCTCAGAAAACTTAGAATGGAACCGACATTTGACCCAGCTATCCCTCTCCTTGGTCTATACCCAAAAGACTTAAAATCAGCATATCACAGTGATGCAGCCACATCAACGTTTATAGCAGCTCAACTCACAATAGCTAAGCTATGGAACCAACCTAGCTACCCTTCAGTAGATGAATGGATAAAGAAACTGTGGTACATATACACAATGGAATATTACTCAGCCTTAAAGAAAAATTAAATTATGGCATTTGCAGGTAAATGGATGGAGCTGGAGAATATCATACTACGTGAAATAAGCCAATTCCAAAAAAAAAAA